GGCCTCGTGAAACCGACCAAGTACATACTCGTACAATACCACATGTGTTGAGATGTCGTCACAATCATTCATTTGGTGCCGTTGATTGCCCGATCAAGATATAATGCGATTCACCGGCACCAAACCCAACTAAACCTGCGGCAAACTCGTTCCTCGTGTGTGCGGTATACCTCCCGTCTGCATCTTTTCGTTCCGAAGCATGCCATGTAGAGTACACCGACGTACTTGACCCCGCGCATAAATATTGTACGCACCGTGCATATACCTCATTGGCCACTGTTGTTGTTGTTGTTGCTGCCCTCTTAATGTAAGTGATATCCGTTGTGACCTCTATCCATTTCCTACACTCGCCCAACTTTTGCCGGAAAGAAAGAAGAGCTTCGGTCCTTGCAGGCCCACACAAACAACCACATCTCACCGTACATCCCAACACTGTTATAGCAACAGCCAATGAACGTTCCGAAAATTGAGTTTGGCAAATAAACCGTGTGACCACCCTGAGTGACCTACAAGTACCATTTTTCTTATCCTGGGATGAACCAGATAGGTTGAGGGCGTGAAACAACCTACCCGGCGTCCTCCTCCAAGGCTCGAGAAACCAGCGCCACCCCAGTAGCGTCCGCAAAAAAAATGTCCCCCCCCTTCCCGCTGCTACCACCCCCCCTGATACTCCTGCGCGCGGCGGTCTTGTGCGATTTCACGCGCTTTTCTCCACGGGCCGAGTATACAGTTGGCAGGACGAAACCCTCTTCCTGGGGGCTGGTGCAGCCGCAAGTTACCAACTCGTTCCCGAAGACAAATCGTCCAGTGAGGAGATTCCCAGCTGGAAGGTTCCGCAAACACACACACAAGACACAAAAAAACGTTTCAAGTGAGGAACAACTCAGGTACGTACATCACTCCCACGTTTCAAACTCGCTCGTGGGGCGGGGTCATCCTACCGGTGAAAAATCTCCATTGCCCTTCGTGGAATGATTCGGGGGCTCCGCGAGTGTCGCCGGAGCCCCATGGATGTACCCAGGGAGTTGATGTACGCCGTTATTGTTCGAGAACACTACAACAAGACCGAGAAGCCGGCTAGAAATCATTGTCGATACACGTTGCGGCAATGAACGTGCTTGGATCCTGAATGGCGGGGGAACCGAGTTGTACGGAGGGCGCTGTCCGTGACCGACGCCAGCAGTGGGCAGGCAGGCCACCAGATATCTCTCAAAAAATTCTTATTGCAGGCAACGGAAGAATCATCGAGTGCCCGCCACGGGCAACCTTACCTGACAGGTATCGTAGTACGGGGCCCCTACCTCACCATAAGTCCAAGCGTTGGTCGAATGTCTTACACTCTTACGCACACGCCCCTACACTCCCAACAATCAAAGAGGCAGAGGTACCTTCGTGGTGAACGCAAGGAAGGCGTGGTACGCAGCAACATGGAACGAGGTGCACATAGTTTTTGGCTTTGAGTAAACCATGACGCGCGCTGGTCAAGTCCATGCTGCGGGCAGAGTTCAGGGACTACGGTAACCCCGATTTTCTGCACGACTCATTTGCTCCCAAAAAAACGAAACCACTCCCGCGCGCACCTGATCTGCCACACTCCCACTCGTTGACTAGCGTTGGCGAGTCCATCGAAGCGCTGCCAGACAAACCGCTGCACAGCACCCGTGAAGGTTCAGATGCGCGCTGTATGCCGATTCTCCACTGATGCGAGATACCGCGTGGTGCCTGGCAAACAAGCAAGTGGGTTCATGGTTCGGGTACAGAAGTAGGGTTAGGGGATTGGGGTGCTGTGCCACTACAGCAGTAGGCTCAGAGCTAAATTAAGAGCGATGGCCGCAGGTGGACACGCTTGCCGTCAGGGCGATTGGTGGGACTACTGCATAAATATCCAAAAGGGGCGAGGTAGGGTTGTCCGGTTGTTGAAGCGGGGAGCAAGAGGTTGATTTCGTCGGTGTTCACACGTACACGCTCTGTTCGAAGATGTAAGGGCCATTTGTATACAAGCACGAATATCACAAAGGTCTTATGTGTTTCAGATCAGGGTGTACGCCATTAGGTATCTACGCTAAATCAAATAATCGAGCAAGTTTTGGTGTAAGTACGTACGCAAGGCCAGCAACGCAAAGGCCTGCCGAGACTGACGGGCCTATCTAGCGAAAGTAAGGAGGCCGTGAGCCCGGCGCGTTTAAAGTACGATTCGATATGCATGGTGGGTCTCGCACCAAAGCGCAGAAACAGTACACCACCAGCAGCAGAGCAGGTGTTGCAAAAACGTCAACTCAAGCCTTCAAATAAAGCAGAAAAGTGCCGACAGATATATCCATGAAAAGTCTCAGAGAGCAAGCAGCCCCAAACAAAGCGGCGAGGCCGAGACTTGCGCGCCAAGAGCAGTAGACAAGACGGACGGACTGCAACAGCAGCGCGGTGGCACCCCCCGGCATGCACAGGACCTCTTGATCTTTCTGACCGTTCTGACAAAAACCAGGTTGTAAAACCCAACCTTCCCCATCTGGGAAAAGTCTCAGAAAAACGAATTTTCCGAGAAATTTCTATTTACTGTACACGCACGTTTACCCGGGCCTTTGTCCCTTCTATGATTTGTTCTCTGTTGGTCGTTGTACATCTGGGCACCGATCTCTCTAGGTGCCATGGGTGGGTGTTACCATGCACAGCAAGAGAGAAAGAGAGTAGGCGCGGAGTGACGATTTCTACGTCATACATGCGCATATTACGCCTGCTCACATGGTACAACGGTACAGCAGGAGAATGCATAATTGGGGTCCTTGCTGCTTGCTCAGGCTACAGACAGGGCGGATCGTCATGCCCCACACCCTGGGCCGCACTCAGGCGCGCAGCAGTTGTCGTTCTTGAGTGGCACCGATGAACGTGGTTGCGAAGCTACCCTGTGATTGGCACTGCTGGCGGCGGCGTTGTAGCTAGCTGATGTTGCATGTTTGTACCCAGTAGGGTTTGCGCGAATGAACCCGCCGACCGGCAACGCGGAATAGGAAATCGAGCCCACCACCGACTGCTGTAAGGCGGTAGGAAGCCAACGCAGAGTCCGTGAATGAGGCAATGGAGGGCTACTAGAATTCCTCTACTCGCCACCTACGACTACCGCTGTTGGGTCCAGAGCGCACGCCGCCCGCGAGGGGCAGAGCAAGAAAAAGTGCACAAAGCGGGCCGACTCCGATCTACAGATACAGAATACCTAGACCAAACACTACAAAGTCGGTCAACCGACACACACCTTGCTGACCGTTGTTTGATAGACTGCCCCCTCGTCGGCCGCCTCCTTGACGTAGACAGCAGCGCCGCTGCTACGCCCACTGTCTTTCTCCCGCCGGTAGCAGCCTTCGGCAGTCTTAAACTCGGTGGTTCTCGCTACATGGATGTACTCGCTTTCGCACCGAACTGCTGTTGCTGCCGTACCGCCGTGAAGCTGTATCGCCAACAGGGGCCCAAGAAGCAGTGGTGCCCACATATTTGGATCCTTTTACGGAGTGGTCGCGCTACTTTACCCCAGGAGGACGACAGACGAAACCGAGAAGCCACGCCGTATGTAACAAGCAGCACCTGCGACAGCGGCAAGCAGGCAGTGGCACACCACGCGAAAGTCATCCGATAATTATTTTTGCCGCTCCGTGACGCAGACAGCAGTATCCAGCGGGGTACATGGCATACAAACCCACGGGGCTGCTGGATACGACACGACAAGCACACCGCGCAAACAGGTAAGGCTGCAAGCGACTGCAAGCGATGTAAGATCATGTTTGACTTGATGAATCCTTGAGGGTACAGTAGAAATCGGTCAAAAAACGGCCGAAGATACAGGTACAGTCGGGCGTTATGAAATCCTTGTAGGTTGCGTACAGCAGTGCCACCAAGTGTATTCTAAGCGCGATTGTTGTCGACCGGTCATAAATTTAACTTTTGGCTAAATTCATGGATCAAGCATGGACAAGCGGGGGGACAGCAGTTCGTCGCGGATGAGAACGGCGTGCTGCTCCGGAACAGGGACGACATCCTCCAGCGGTGGGCGAGATTCTTCAGCACCCTACTCAACACCAAATCCCCCACCCACACATGATCGAACGAGTGACGCACTCAACGGTTGGGAGATGTGCCAGAACTCGAGGAGGTGGCACGGGCAACGAAAGGCCCCAAGAACTGGAAGGCACCCGGCCATGACTCCCTCCCTGCCGAGTTTCAAGATCGATGACGACGAACCCTTCGTCCTGGAACACCTCCATACCATCCTCGTCAAGGTGTGGAACGGAGGAGATATTCCGCGAGAGTGGAAGGATGCAACCATCAAGGTGCTGTACAAGAAGGGTGACCGGTCCAACTGTAACAACTACAGGGGGGTTTCGCTACTATCTCACGTAGGCAAGGTGCCCATCAAGATCATCACCAACCGTCTATTCGTACGTTTGTGTGTCCTTTACTTGGAAGGGGGAGATTTGTTCTATCTTTTGTATTAAGCACGCGAAAGGGGAGCGGAGGAAGAGCGAGGTCCCGATAAGCTTGAGAGAGCTCGAGAGGTCTCACCGCATAGGTTCCACCGCATAGTAACCGTCATGGCATACCTATGCCCCTATCTGCGTGTTCCCGTTGTTGTCGGCAGATCTACCAGTCCGTATCCAAACACACGAACACCCTCCCTGGTTCGTCACGCAAGTGGCGAATCATCAGTGGGGCATGGATACCCCAGATCTACCTGAAGAACTCAAATCAACAACGGTGCGGGGGAAAATCCGGCCATCCGGATCAAAAACCCTCGCGTACCCAAATATAGAAACCGTTGCTATCACGAGGATTCCAACGGCCGCACTTCCAAGACAAAGACCAAATGGCAGGACAGTTTGGACCGGTCATGTGACGCGCCGACCAATGCTTCCTGCATGACAACCATGGCCATAGATGGCCATTGCTAAATGCAACACAGAAATCAGAACATTCGAGATGCTCAGTGCTAAAACACAGTAACACAGAAGCCAGGACTACTCCGGGAGGTTCATCAGGGCCTTCCGGTGGTACTCCAGTTTGGTCCTACCAAGGACCTTGGTCAGCATGTCGGCGTGCTGCTCTTCCGTCGGGACATACTCTGCGGTGATCTTCCCCGACTTGAAGAGCTCGCGGATAAAGTGGTACCGCACGTCGATGTGCTTGCTCCTCGCCGAGCTGAAGGGGTTCTGCACCAGGGCAAGAGCTCCCTTGTTGTCTTCAAGGACCTTGATCTTCGCCCCACTCGTCTCAGGCGCTACGAAAGACAGAACCGCACGCACATGCAACGCCTCCTTCATTCCCTCCCCGGCTGCTAGATACTCTGCCTCCGAGGATGGCTGCGCCGGCACACGCTGCGTCTTTGTGGTTCGGTTCACCGTGTTACCACCTACGGTTACGGCTAGTCCCGTCGTCGAACGCCTGTCAACAACGTCGTAGGCGTAGCTGGGATCGACCCACCCTCCTAGATCTAGCCCTGACCCCCGCACATAGGTGAGGCTCAGGTCCTTCGTGGCGTTGAGGTAAGACATGACCCTCAGATTGCTCTCGATGTATGCCGTCTGGGACAACTTGGTGATGCCGTTCTCTAGGTCCATCTCAATGCCAATTCCATCATACCACGTACATTCTCCCAAATCCTTCACCGGAGACTTCTCCTGGAGGGAAGCAAGCAACTCTTGACGCTCTTGCTCGGACGCCACCAACAAAATGTCGTCTACGTAGATCACCATCAGACCTACGACCTCTCCGTCAACCATCCTACGGAAACACACGGGTCAGCCCTGCACTGCTCGTACCCATTCGCGATGAGGGCATCAGCAGCTTCAAACCCCCACTCGCGACCGCTTTGTTTCAGGCCATACAGTACACGCTCAACCTTGCACACCTTGCTAGACATGTCACCACAACCCTGGGGAAGCCTGATAAAAATCTCTTCTTTGAGCTTAGCGTGAATGTACGCTTGTTTAATGTCCCAGTGGAACATCTTATGTTTCTTCTCGGTGGCTACGACAACCATNCAGCAGCTTCAAACCCCCACTCGCGACCGCTTTGTTTCAGGCCATACAGTACACGCTCAACCTTGCACACCTTGCTAGACATGTCACCACAACCCTGGGGAAGCCTGATAAAAATCTCTTCTTTGAGCTTAGCGTGAATGTACGCTTGTTTAATGTCCCAGTGGAACATCTTATGTTTCTTCTCGGTGGCTACGACAACCATGGTTTTGATGGACGTCGTAGACGGGCATGCAGAAGCTGAGTGGTGGAAATCTACCCCGGAATCTGTGAGAAACTACANTACGACAACCACGATATTGATGGACGTCGTAGACGGGCATGCAGAAGCTGAGTGGTGGAAATCTACCCCCGGAATCTGTGAGAAACCACGCGCAACCATACGGGCTTTGAAGGCGGTGATCATACCCTTCTCGTTCGTCTTGTACGAAAACACCCACTTCGAACTCACTGCCTTCCGCCCCTCGGGAAATTTTCCAATTTTCGTGAAAGTCCCCGCCATGTCTAGACCACCCTTCTCTTTCATCATCGCCGCTTCCCGAAACACCTTGTATTTGGGATCCATCGCATCTTTGTATGTGAGCGGGACAGCCTCTACATCGTTCGGCTTCTGCCCGATCGGCGAGGGAATACTTAGCTCTGGGTCAAGGAGTGTTTGCGGCGACCCGTTGTCCTTTTCGTTTGCACTGAATGCCAGCTCCAGCTCCCCTGCATCAGGATGGAGCGCCTTCACTAGATCGTACTGTAACTGCTTCTTCAGCTCCTCACGGTACGCTTGCTCGTCTTGTATGCGCTCCTCCAACAGCGATTCGCGGATATATTCCGCAACGATCTCCGGACCGTTCTCGGTCTCCATGACGGTTGATAACAGCGCCTCCTCGGGGGCTGGCGCCTCGCTCGGCTCTTCCTCGGAGCTCCGCCACTCCCGGGTCTTCTTCCGGGTGCGGCTNACTGAATGCCAGCTCCAGCTCCCCTGCATCAGGATGGAGCGCCTTCACTAGATCGTACTGTAACTGCTTCTTCAGCTCCTCACGGTACGCTTGCTCGTCTTGTATGCGCTCCTCCAACAGCGATTCGCGGATATATTCCGCAACGATCTCCGGACCGTTCTCGGTCTCCATGACGGTTGATAACAGCGCCTCCTCGGGGGCTGGCGCCTCGCTCGGCTCTTCCTCGGAGCTCCGCCACTCCCGGGTCTTCTTCCGGGTGCGGCTGGGCTGGAGCACATGGCGCAGCTGGCCGGCGCTCGACGCTCCCCAAAGAATTTTCTTCCCTTCCGTTCCTGACGGGTAGCGGCTGTCGGCGGGGTCGTACTTCAACTCCTCGAGCGTCTCAGGGTCGCCGCCTTCATTGCCGTCACCATCATTCTCACCGGGGTCGCCTGTCTCGCCGCCGCCATCGTCATCGCTGCCGGGGTCGACGGCCTCGCTGCCGTCACCGTCGTGGTTGTTGGAGAAGTCGCTGGGGCCACTACTGTCGTTGCTGTTGCTGCTGTTGTCGGCGGGGTCATCGCCACCGCCGAAGTCACCCCCTCCCGAAGAGGGCGACGGGGGACCTCCGCGTTCGTCCCCCTGCATCCCATTTCCGGGTGCCGCAGGCGCCCCCATGTGCACGAGCGGAGTCGCTTGCCCCAGCCCACGAGCGTCGTCTGCGTCGAGGTCGGACTCACTCCTCGAGTCTTCTTCCCCCCCTCCACCTTGACGTGACGCGCCCTCATTGCTCTCGCCCTCCCCGACCTCCTCATCATCTGCGAGAGGCACTGGCTGCAGGGGGCCGGGCGAAGCAGCGGGCACTTGGCGCCAGGTGAAATTTCGGGTACCAATTACTGTTCCAGCTTCGGTTAGCATCGAACGCAATCACGGGAGTGGTTGTGGGCTGGTCCAAGGTACCATCCTTTCTGTCCCTTGGGTTGCGACTTTGCCTCTCTTCTTGATTTGAAGACGGCTGGTTTGAGGAACGGGTACGTTGACCCGACCGGCGGCGGTGTGCCGGAAACACCTCGTAGGGGGTTTTGTGGCCAGGGTTACCCATGGTGGCGGTGCAGCTTCTTTGGTGGCACGCGCAAGAGATGGCTTCAGCCCATAACTTAAGGGTATTGGGCGCATCGGGGAAGAGTGCCGTAGCTTGGATACGCGCGGCGAGCGCGGCATCATTGATCACCCCCAACGCTCTCTCAGCTACACCGTTGTACTTGGCCGTGTCAGGAAGGGTAAACTCTTGCTTGATGCCGTATTTACGGCAAACATCCGCGAACGCCCCTTGAAACTCGCCACCACCGTCAGTCCGTGCGACGTAAACTTCACACGGAACCCCCGCTGCTCGGTAGTCTGCCAAGAAATGCTGAAATTTCTTGGCTGCGTCAGATTTTCGCTTCAGAAAGAATACGCGCGTCCAACGCGTGTGATCGCACACGATTATGAGGGTGTATAGGCTTCCCCCGATGCTTGCGATCTTCATTTCCCCCCCTAGGTCGAGGAATATGCGAAACAGCTTCATATTTGCGCGCGTGGATGTGCTCGGACGGGTTTCACCTGTACCTTGGACATCGAACAGCCGAGGCATGGTAGCAGCGGTCCTCCCGCCAGCTGCACTCCCTGCTGCTTCGCCGTGTCTCTAGGCAGTTTCTCGTGGGCGTGCAGGTGGGAGTTGTGGTAGTAGTTGATGTCAGTGAGGGTGACTGCTTTCGCATCGCCAGGAACAATGACTGCGGCACATGCGATGTCTACCGTAGGCTGTGCTTGATAGCCTTCTTGAGTGAGTAGCTTGCCCGTCCGAGGGGAAAACACTTTCCCCCCGACCTTCGTGGTCAACATGAGCCCCCCTTTCTGCCCCGAGTCTTGTGGCCTTCCTCGGCCAACGTGGTAAGAGAAAGGAGGTTGTAAGGGGCTTCGGGTACATGAGCTGCTATCGGAATGGGTACAGGCACCCAACCACATGCCGACTTGAGGACTACGACCACGTCTCCGTATCCTAGGAGGGGAACAGGGGCTTTGTCACCACCAATTCCCCGCACCCAAACGTTACACTCACGGTAGTTCACGAAGGCATTCGCACATCGGAACATGGAGCACGTGGCTGCCGTGTCAGCCACGTACTGCATGACATCCTGACCAAGTCCCTCAACCCCCACTAGACCAAGATCAACGATACCACACTCGCCTGAGGGTTGTGCCACGGCACAGAATGCCTGGTCAGTGGCGGAGTCGTCGTCGCTCACGTAGCTCACGACTTGAGCCAGGACAGCCTCCTCCGTAGCACATTTGTCCTCCTTGTGACCCCACCCTGCGCATTTCCCGCAACGCGGAATGAAGTCCTCCTCCTCGGTGGTGCAGTCAGCAATCTGGTGCCCGACGTGACCGCACCGGTAGCACCGGCCAGGGAACCTCGTGCCCCCGCCGCTCCCGCCGCCGCCGTTGCCGCCGCTTCCATCTCCCTTGCTCTCCTCGACGCCGTCGCCGCCCCCGCCGTTGCAGCCGCCGCGGCCACCGCTGCGACCGCCGCGGTCACCGTTGCGGCCGCCTCCACGACCTCGGCCGCCACGACCGCGGCCACGGCTAGACGACTGCCCCTTCCGGCCGCCACCGTCGGCGATGTAGGCCCTTTCGGCGCCTCGTGCGCCGTTGCGTTTCTTATGTTTCTCCAGGATCGCTTTGTACTCGATTGCGATCTCCCTCATCACTTACTCCTTGGTCAGCTTTTTCGTGCGTCGCAGGGCATGCTTCGTCATAGCGTACTCATCCGAAAGGGCGGACACAAAGCGGTGGAGAACAAATCCTTCGTTGATACCTAGCCCTTCTTGGTAAAGTCGTTCACCAGTTGCTAGCATGTCGCGGAGAACAAGTTGTGGGTTCTTATTCGTGGGGACCGTAAATGTCATGAACGCATCCAAGTCGTCAACCGATTGCATTGCTGATTCCGGGTTGTACATTCCTTTTAACTCCCGAATGGCCCCCTGGGGCGTCTCTGCCCTTTTCATCGTCTTTTTATTGTCCTCTTTGATGAGAGCGTGGTCCAGAAAATTCCACGCGTGAAACGCGGGCTCAACTTGCTCGGCTGGGTATTGTTGGCACAATGACGACTTGCTTCGTCCGCTATTCACGGGGATCTCCACTGTCCCCTCCCGAGGGTGGTCCAACAGGTTTGCTCCATTTGCTACCAGGCAGAAATCCTGAAGCCATGATTTACAATTTTTTGCTTTCCCGTCAAACGGGGGTGAGGAGTACCTCACGCTCTGCTATCCTGCACTCCCGACAGGAATACCGAAGCCGCCGGCAAAGCCAGCAGCAGCACCACCTCCTATGGTGCTACTGAAACCACCTGGAGTGTGAGCAGCGGCTACTCTCACCTCTTGGGCGACATAGCCCCCTGCTTCGCCGCTGTTTCGTCCTTCCAGACCAGAGTTTCCGAAACGTTCGTGTAGGTACGTGTCGTCCTGCGTGCTCCCAGTGTGCGATGCCCCTTCTTGGACTTCTGCAGACGCCGCGGCGGCGCTCTGTCTAGCTTACCGCGGTCAGCGTCGCTCCCTCTGGCGTCGCTGGGCTCCTCCTCCTTCCGTGTTAGCTCGCCTACCAGTAGCGTCAACTTGCTAATCTGCTCTGCGAGCGAGCCTACATCCGTTTGAGGCTCGTGAACTCTGCCGAGCTCTGGTCTCCCTCCGACCGTCCGCCAGGGACATTTTCCCCGGCTACGCGGTCCGCCATTTCCTCATGGACTCCCTCGAGGGATGTAGCACTAGTCTATTCGTACGTGTGTATGTTCTTTACTTGGAAGGGGGACATTTGTTTTATCTTTTTGTATTAAGCACGCGAAAGGGGAGCGGAGGAAGAGTGAGGTCCCGAAAGCTCGAGACAGCTCGAGAGGTTCCACCGCATAGGTTCCACCGCATTGTAACCGTCATGGTATACCTATGCCCCTATCTGCGTGTTCCCGTTGTTGTCGGCAGATCTACCAGTCCGTATCCAAACACACGAACACCGTGTAAGCGCCTTCAGCGAAGCCAACAACACCGTTCCGGAGGAACAGTACGGATTTCGACCCGGGCGATCCACCGCTGTCGACATGCTGTTCGTCGTGCGCCGCCTCCAGGAGCTGGGGCGGAGAAACAAAATACCGCTCTACATGTGCTTCGTCGACTTGAACAAGGCGTATGATTCCATACATGGAGGTGCTGGCCAGGGCCGGGATTCCCGCGAAGCTGATCGAAGTCATCCGCCAATTCCACGATGGAATGCGGGCCCGGGTGCGCATGGACGACGGAGAACTATCGGACTGGTTCTTCATGACACAGGGCGTGCGACAAGGGTGTGTGCTATCCCCGCTGCTGTTCAACATCTTCTTCGCCGAGGTTCTCGAGGTCGTTGTCATCCGATTCAGCGAGGATGATGTTGTTCTGCGGAGCCTGGTGTGCTTGGAGGAGGGGAAGACGGAGACGGAAGCAGGGGGGGGGGAGGAGACACCCCTTGACCGAGTACGGAGGGCAGTATGGGGGATGCTGTATGCCGATGATGCCGGCGTCGTATCGAGGTCTGCAGAAGGACTGGCGAGAATGATGACCATCATCGTTGAGGTGTTCGGGGAGTTCGGGCTAACGGTGTCGGAGAAGAAGACGGAGACGCTCCTGATGCGCGCGAAGTACAAGCCGACTACAACATCACAGCCCGCCCCGCCTCCACCGCTGACCATCGAAGCCGCGGGACAGAAATACGCCCAGACGACCGAGTTCCGGTACCTCGGTGGCCTTGTCAACGAACATGGCGACCTCCCCCGGGAGATCAGCTACAGGAGCAGAGGAGCGTGGGCGTGCCTCAGGGGATATGGCCGGGACCTCTTCGACAGACCGCAAGCGCCATTCCGACTCAAGATCCTGAAGAAGAGGCCAGCCGACAACGAGCGCTCAAACGAAACCACAAGCCACCAACCAGTGGGGCGGGAGGGGCGCAGGAGACGGACGAGACGGCGAGGGAAGAAGCAAACGAGAAGAGACGGACCGAGTGGCGCGATACGTGCCGGATTGAATTTCTTTTAGCAAATTCCCCCCCCCCCAACGCTGCACCATTGCACCAATCCCCCACCAATGATGACGTACCATTACAATGTATGGCTGGTTGGTGGCCATGTTTGCGTGTTTGCTTGTCGTTAGTGGTCTCTCCACCGTGTGCCTTTTTCTGTCTCTTGTTTCTTGTTATTTTCGGCCTGGTCCCTTTTCGTCCTCGCTCTGTTTATTTCATTTTCTCCTTCCTTACTATTCCCTTTTTTTTTTGTCTTTTTCTCCTTTTCTCTCTTTTTCTGTGCCAGATGGCCTTGTCTCTGCTTGCGTTGTGAAGTACCAAGATTGAATCAAGGGGGTGTACCTCATTCTCTCCGGCCCGTGATGGTGACTCCTAAGCTCAGTTGTTACCTCGCATAGCGCGCAGAGGGAGTGAGGGACTCCATAATATCTGTCGTTGATTTCTATTGACTTGCGGACCCCTCGGGGCCATTTTATTTGAGTGTACCTTGTTAGGGTAAGTTAGCCTGCGACCACGGGAGTCGACCGCGTCGAGTGTTGGATCAGTACGGACATACGAAGGTACTGGGTAGAGAGAGATCGGAAAGGTTTTCAATGTGAAGAAAACAACAACAACAACAACAACAACAACAACAACGACAATGGATTCCGAAGTTTCTTTCACGTACGTCTTGCCGTGACGGCACCCACAGGACCTGGTGATGAAATAGTTTTTGTGGGGTCGAAGAAAATCGCATACATTTTTCAGCATATACATACGGGAAAAATACGTGAGAAAATAAATAAAACCAGAAAAAAAAGACGAAGAAAGAGGGTCATGAGACTAAAACCGGAGACCTCGAGTGCGAAAAGGTAGGTCGCGAGGACCTACTTGGTTTTGATGCGGGCGCTGTAGAACTCAGTGTAGGACACACATATGCTTTTGAGAAAGTAAACATAACCTCACAAGGGTCTACCCGTTCGAGATATAACCTCAGTCGAAGGGATGTGGTGAATGAAGTTTTTTTTTGTAAGTGGAGTGAAACCAACAGGAGGCTTGGCTTTTTTTGAGTTTGTGTAAGCCTAACGCTGAGTTATCAGTACATGCCAGTTGGAGCTAGGAACAAAAACAAGCATCTGTATAGATAGGCGGATACATTCTTAATTTTATGTGGAATGTGGCCTTCACAGGGAAGAACATGGCGCAGTGTCGTTTGACAACTTGCTGTTTTTAGACAGTACTTCACTGCTGTTTTAGGCGACTTGAATATAGACTACATACAGCAGTGTACTGTAGGTACAGTAGGACTGTTGTTGTTTACACATTATTTTTTCTGTTTCTCCCATCATTGGACTCTGTCGCCTGCCCCTTTGGCCCCTATCCTCCACTTCGACTAGCTAGACGACCCAACCGGGGCCACGTAGGAGAGGGGGACTATGGACCCCCTCCTGCGGTTCCTACCTGAGGTATTTTTTTAGGTATTTTTACCGCGAGAAGGGTACAGTAATCCCTTCCCTCGAGACTTACGAAGTTGATTATGGTATACTAACAACGAGCTCTGCAGCGCGTCGCTTTCATCCTAGACCAGGATTTGTTCAGAGAGAAAAACACTCACTCTGCCGGGACTCGAACCCATGACCTGGCCCTCAGCAGGCTGCGAGGTTACCCACTAGAACACCGGGGCGAAACATAGCACGCACGATAAACAGAAAAGGTATATAGTCTATAAAAAAAAAAAAAAATCAAAAATTGGGGTTGGACTGTGGATACATTTGAGTGTGTGGATGCTTCCCGCTCATTTTATATGCTTTTATGTGGATGGTATCGCACCGACCGTTCGAGAAAAGAGCCCCCGGAAACCGATCAAAATAAGAGAAGAACAAAATTAAAGGAGTACGCTTCCCACACCCGCCCAAAGAAAAAATCAAAGGGTAANAAAGGAAATAACCGGTACCGCGCTGACCGTTCGAGAAAAGAGCCCTCGGAAGCCGATCGAAAAAAAACAAAAACAAAAATACAGGAGGACGCTTCCCACACCCGCCTAAAGAAAAATCAAAGGGTAACGTACCAGCACCAGGCACTACCCACCAGGGCATGGGAGTAACGGAGCAAACAGGGCAAAGAGGCGGCAGATGGGCAGACAGCCAGACGTGCAAAAGCAAAAGCAACAGCAAAAGCGAGATCAAGGTACCCAACACAGCAGAGTATTCTAGGCAGGGAGGACATGAAAAACAGAAACAGCACAGAGAGAGGCCGAAGGCAATACAAAGGACATACATAAAGGAGTATAGCATACAGCAGGGAGGGAAACAGGGCGCAACAACATCAGCCGGGTACATAGTTCGCCACAAGCGCTGCCTCGGCCGCCCTACTCGCTTCTACAGCAGTGCCCGGTCGCCGTTTCTTCCCCCCCA